TTACAAATTTAACCCAATCAGTAATTCCAATGGATAGTTTTATTGACAATCGTTATTACTATATGTTAAAAAATAGAAAACAGTATAATACAGTTATAATTATTTTAAACAATAGGTACAACATTGATAAAAAATTAACAAAAGTTATATATCAATAATGTTAAGTCATTCATTTAGGCTTCATCCGTTTTTAACAACACATTGACTCCTAATATTTTCGAGGTCGCTGATTACGAAACTGGAGTCAGATTTTCAAAATGAAAATGGCGGATCCAATATGGCGGTCGAATAGCCAAAATTTTATCTGTTCTCTTCAAATTCGTCACTCGGGGGTTTTTGGGGTCGCTGATTACGAATCTGAAGTCAGATTTTCAAAATTCAAAATGGCGGATCCAATATGGAGGAATAAATTTCAAAATTTCACCGATTTCCCTTAAAACTCATCACTCGGGGGTTATTAAAATTATTATTTTATTAAACTAATTATATTGAAATTAATAATTTTATTTTAATCACCATCTGAAAATTATATTTAATTAATTTCTTTTATATTAATTGAACAATTTTTTGTATTTTGTTATATGTAAAGCTTACATCGAATTTGAAAATTCGCGAGACTCACATGATAATGAAATTCATCCACCTTGTTAAAATAGGGTTCTTGGCGAAGGTTTACTGTAAAAAAAACCTAACGCGCCTTATTCGGAACCTCTTAGGTGGTGTGGAAGACCGTCACCGCTGCAAACAATTGATTTGAAAGTGAGAAAAATTTAAAAATTTCTAAAAATTTTTTGAACAAACTCGATCCGTCATTTAGAATTTTGAAAATCTGACTGCAGATTCGTAATCAGCGACCCCAAAAACCCCCGAGTAATAAGTTTTAAGTGAAACCGGTGAAATTTTGAAAATTAGTCCGCCATATTAGATCGGCCATTTTGAATTTTGAAAATCTGACTTCAGATTCGTAATCAGCGACCCCAAAAACCCCCGAGTGATAAGTTTGAATGGAAACCGGTGAAATTTTGAAAATTAGTCCGCCATATTGGATCCGCCATTTTGATTTTTGAAAATCTGGCTTCAGATTCGTAATCAGCGACCCCAAAAACCCCCAAGTGATGAGTTTTAAGGGGAACAGATAAAATTTTGAAAATTTGTCCGCCATATTGGATCCGCCATTTTGAATTTTCGAAATCTGACTTCAAATTCGAAATCAGCGACCCCAAAAACCCCCGAGTGATGAGTTTTAAGGGGAACAGATAAAATTTTGAAAATTTGTCCGCCATATTGGATCCGCCATTTTGAATTTTGAAAATCTGACTTCAGATTCGTAATCAGCGACCCCAAAAACCCCCGAGTGATGAGTTTTAAGGGGAACAGATAAAATTTTGAAAATTTGTCCGCCATATTGGATCCGCCATTTTGAATTTTCAAAATCTGACTTCAAATTCGAAATCAGCGACCCCAAAAACCCCCGAGTGACGAGTTTCAACAAAATCTATAAGCTAGGTTGCCCGGGGGCACGAAAGGGTTAAAAATCAACTCCAAAAGTGAGTGTAAAAATAATTGGAATTCAAAAATGTAATAAAGAAAAATTTACATATAAATCAATTTTATTATTTTAAATTAGACATTTGTTTATAAAATGTTGCACATTTTTTATTGTATATTTTTAGAGCCAATATGTTTATAAAATATCAACATTTAAAATGATTAATTCCTTAGTAGGTTATCATTCCGGCATGACTTAAAATATTTCCTTCTTGATGGCAGAAAAAAATGATCCATTATATCAAATTTTTTATAATTATTCATAATCCCCACTTGGAAAGATTCCCCGGAAAGTGCCCCCTGGAGATTCTATCAGAATTTCACCGGAACTTTCAACGTAATTCCGTCGGAATTCCATCGGAGTTCCAAAGAATTTGCTATGGGATTCCGACGGAGTTCCAACGGAATTCCGATTAATTTTTTTCAAAATTATTAGAGTCCTAATTCCGTCAGAATTCCGTCGGAATCTCATAGGAAATTCTTTGGAACTCCGATGGAATTCCGACGGAATTACGTTGGAAGTTCCGGCGGAATTCTGATAGAACCTTCGGGGGCACATTCCAGGGAATCTTTCCAAGTGGGTCTTCATTAAATATTACTTTAATATTATGTATATCCTAATACTAATTTTTAAATTATGGTAAATAAATGAATTTTAAGAATTTTTGAAGTATTTTGAAATTCTCATTTTAAAAAATCGTTAAATTGTAAAATTCTTGAAAATATTAAATAAGATATATATATATACATACAAGTACCAGTCATAAAAAAGAAGAAGAAAAAAGAGGGGAAAAAAAATTAGAATGCATTATAAAAATGTTCATATTAATTGACGCTTAACAGTAATTATACGAATGTAGACCTCAAGCCTCTTTTTATGTTGCATCCTTGAATACTTTATTTACTTCGTTCATCATAAATCGTTAACATTCTGTTATAAACATGTCTATATATAAATTTTTGAATTTCCAATCGCAATACAAATATAAATGAACATTGTGTAATACGTGAAAGTGAATATTGAGAAACTAGTTTTTTTTTTATTTAAGGCCTAATTTGGAAATATAAAAAATAAACTCTTTAACTGTATAAGGGGAGAAAAGTATATCAATTATCAATTGCAATTAATTCTTATTCTATTTTTGAAAAAGTCATTTTAAAAATGTATGCTATTATACTAATATAAATATAAATAATCTATTTATAATACCTTTTTTTTATTTATTTTTAATTAATAACTGTTAATAATATTTATTTAATTATGTATTTGTTAATGTTATTTCTTTTTAATAAATCAGATCCATTTGGAATAAAAAGAAATCAAAAATTGCAAAATTTAAGTGATTTTTATAAAAATATTTGTTATTATCTAATAAATTTTTATAAAATATATTTCATTATAAGGGTCTGGGTCGAGGGTCATAACAAGCTATCAGCACTAACTTTAAATTGACTGAGTGACAATAATTTCTAAAGTAGTGTCGAGAAGTGCAAATTATGTTTAAATTGAAGTTTTATTAATATTTCAACATTTGCAAAAAATATTTTTTTTAATCATTTGAAAATTATTATTATCTGATTATTTAATTATGAAAAAAAAACTTTTTTTAAGTGATTCAAAACATAATAATCACGATGTAAACATATAAAATAAATTTTTTTTTTCTTTAGAAAATATTTGAAAAAAAATTACAGGAATTAAGAAAATTATGTAATTTTAATGCATTTCAAAAGAGTTTGGATTTCTAATGAAACTTTTATTGTTGCTATTTTAAAAATACTGCAACCTTCCATTTTTATAATAATTAAAAGATAAAGTGGAAAATATATACAAATGTTTGTTTTTCTGTCTCATTTTCTCAGGAAAAATGAAAAAAAATGTTTTCTCAGATTTACAAATTAAATTTTTTTCATTTCTCCAAAAAAAAATTATTCAGATTTTTAATGTAATATATATATATATATATATATTTTTTTTTTTCTCAATAAATCCTAACAATGGTCTATTTTCTAAATTTGCTTAACCATGAATCTCTTGGGCATTTGTCCAAGAAGACAAATTTCATTACATTCAACTCAAATATGAAATTAAACATGTAGATATTAATTTAGTAAAATACGAATTGCAAATTTCGCAATTTAATTAATGATTCAATTTTTTTTCTAATTTTTATAAAAATATTTTTTGCAAAATTCAAATTTAATACTTGAAAGCTGGTTTCAATTATATATACATATATAAATTCTAGAAAATTTGAATTATGAAATATTTTTTTAATTGAAATAATAAAAAAATTTCAAACAATTTTTTTTAAATAACAAATTTAGTATAAAAGAAATAGTATCTAGTTCTTGTTGACAAATAAAAATAAATAAAGTCTTTTTACGCTAATAAAACATATCAACCGAAACATTTTATCATTTAGCGCATTACGTAAGAATAGAAAGATTATTCAAATTTTACAGAATCAAGAAAATATTTTTGTCAATAATATAAAAGCTCAATTATTATCAAATAAAATAATCCTTTTCTTTTTAACAGTTTAAAATTAATATTTTTATTAACAAGTTTAACTTTTTACTATTTAAATAGAAAATTTTCAAGTTTATAGATACTTTTCATTATCATTGTTATTAAATTAAAAATTGAATGAATATACTTTAATATGAACATATGTATAGAATTTAAAAAACAAACAAATCATAAAAAGTCATTGATTAAATTAATATAATTTAATTAATATTAAATAATTAATTAAATATGAAATATTATTCTTAATGTAAAATATTACATAATTAATTAAATTAATATAATTTAATCTAAAGTTGAAAAAAAATTTTTTTTTTCATTGAAAATTAAAATTTTGTCAAGTGTATATATAAATAGTTGCCAAATAGTTTAAGTCAAAATGGGAGTCTATTATTGTTTTTTTTTTTTTATACACATTCAGGCGCGTAAATGTTCTGACCCCTCTTCTTTCTCTTATGCAACTTTAGACTCTGAACTTTTCTTCAGACGACTGGCAATTTGCAATTTTATCGTCTGCCGACGAAGCGGCCTGTACCGTATAAAGTGCATGGGTTTCCGCGATAAAGACATTCATAACACAATAAAAAATATATTCACGCATTATTGTGGAATTGCACACAATAATAGTGATCAAAAGCCTTGACCACTTAGAATTTGTTCTCCGTTTAAATGCAAAAAAAAAAGAATTTTTTAACATGAAATATTAAGATTTTTTTTCAATAATTTTTTTTTGAAATATACAATTTTTAAAAATTAAAATTAAAATTTTTTTAAATTTATTATTAGATATTATTTTTCCATTTATTTTTCTAAATAAAAAAATAGGTATAGTTAAATTTTTTATATAAGAAAATACAATAAATATAAAAAAAAAAAATAATAAATTTTCACATTTTTTTTTTTTTGTTTTGTTTTGTTTCAGGAATCCGGTACTCGCTCGAGGCCCAATAGAATCGACAGAGTGGGCGAGTTCCGGAGGGAAAAAGAATATTGTAGAAAAACATTCCATAATTTATACATAGATTTATACATATATATATATGTGTGTATATAATTAAGCCGTACTCAGTGAAGAAAAATTACGACAATATTCTCTCGAGAAAGACAGACTGACAAGGATAATCAAGAATTTTTGAAAATTTTAACAAAAACACCAAAAAAATACTCTTATATATAAATATATATAAAGGGAGATAAAGGAACTTTCATCCCTCAAAATGTATTCGATTCGTAAAGCCAATAAAGTACTTTCCAGGCACAGAGAGGCACTACAGATTTTAAATATTTCCCAAAAGAATTTTAGCACTGATGTTGAATATAAACCGATTCGCAGCGTTCTAGTCGCAAATCGAGGTAATTATTAATTTTTTTTTTATTTCTAAAAATTAAAATATAATATATTGACATATTAATAAACAATATTACTAATAATACACTCAGAGAACAGATTCTTTGAATCAAAAAAATTTATTCAAATCAAAGAAACTTTTATTTGAAATAAATAACAAAAATAAGCATTGACCTAATTTCTTATTCTCTCTAAATTAGAATTACTGAGAATTAGTTCACTTATTTTTAATAAAATATTACTGCATTTAATTTAGTAATATATTTTTTTACTAAAGTTTTAGTGAAAAATGACTAATAATTAGTAGAAATTTTCACTAATTTTAATTAGTAAACGAATTCTTACTAATTCAAATTTAAAGAGTTTATTCTACATTTTTTCAAAGTGTATAATAGTAATATTATTTAAATTTAAATCTTTAACGTGTCCTAAATAAATTATTCAAATAATATAAAAGCCAACATATAAAATACAAAACAAAATTTTTTTGGTGAAAAAATCAATACACCTTATTCTTCAAAAGGGGAAACTGGGGTTCAACTTGAAAACGTTAATAAGAATGGTGTATCGATTTATTCACCAAAAAAATTTATTTTCTATCCTTTTTGTTCATTTTAATATTATTGAATAAATAAAAATAGTAGTAATAATAATAATAATAATAAATATTATTTTATTGTTATTAATATTTTAATATTAATAAGTCCAATATTCTTAAAATTTATAAATATATATATTTATAAAAATTTGAATAATTACAAAAATTCATATTCTGGGAGAAAATGAAAAAAAAAAAGAAATTAAATTATTATAAATTAACTTATAATGTTGATTAAAAATTGCCCGCAATTCTTGTCATTAATAATAAAAATGTCTTAATCGAGTTCTTGACCTCTTCCATTGACCGACACATAATTATTATGCACTGCTTTCTGATGAACGTCTGACTATAACCGCGACAATCTACTGCAAGTCTATAAGCTGTAAACTTCGCTATATGTACTTACAGCCGTTAACTCATTAACATATAATAATTCATTAGGCAACAATTTTGAAAAAAAAATAATTAGCAACTTTAATTGTATTTAAAAAAAAAAAATAAATAAAAACTTAAATCAAAAATTTCGTTAAAATAAACAATTTTTTAATTAGGTATTTAATTCATTAAGGAAGCATTTTTAAGATTAATAAGAAACTTTAATTGTTTTTTAATTAACAAAGACTAACAACAACAAAAAATTTATTTAATTCAAATAATTGATGCTTAATATCAAATAATTGTTATTTAAATTAATGGTTCAATGGAGTTTATTTGACTTAAAAAAATATATTTAGTTTAAATAAACTTGATAATAGTCATAATTAATAATCATAATATGATAAATAAATTTCTAATTGAATTTCAGGCGAAATTGCAATTCGTGTTTTTCGAGCATGCACAGAACTTGGAATTCGATCAGTGGCAATTTATTCCGAGCAGGACAAAATGCAAATGCATCGACAAAAGGCTGATGAGGGCTACATGGTTGGTCGTGGTCTTCCACCCGTTCAGGCTTATCTAAATATTCCAGAAATAATTAAAGTTGCCAAAGAGAATAATGTCGATGCCATTCATCCAGGCTATGGTTTTCTATCGGAAAGATCTGATTTTGCTCAAGCAGTTGTCGACGCTGGAATTAGATTTATTGGTCCTAGTCCAAAAGTCGTGCAGCAAATGGGAGATAAAGTAAAATTAATAAATAATATCAAATTAATTTAATTAATAATTAATTATCATTTTTTATAAAGTGTAAAAGAGGAAAAGATTAAAAACAATTTTTTACAGGTGGCAGCTAGACAAGCAGCAATTGAAGCTGGAGTACCAATAGTTCCCGGAACTGATGGACCAGTAACGACAGCCGATGAGGCCATGGAATTTTGCATGAAACATGGACTTCCAGTTATCTTCAAAGCTGCCTATGGAGGTGGAGGACGAGGTACAACCTGATCAACAACTGGAAATTAATTGTCTTTCTATTTAGAACTACTGCCTCCAAAAGGGTTAATATCCTAAACTCGGTCTCTCTTTTTATAATCTCGTCTAGATGAAGAAATTATTCATTTTCTTCAAACAAAAAGAAAAATACCCTTTCTACATTCAGGGTTCTACATTAAACAGTCTCACAATAATTATACGTGCAATAGAAAGTTCCTAATATCCGCTAAGGTCCATTATATACATTAGTCAAAAATGTGTCTAAAGTTCTGAACGTTCATTTTTTTTTTTAAATTACAACAGCATTGAAAAATAATAAACTACATTAAACATTTAATAAAGTATCCCTATCAAAAATTAACTACTGGGGCAGTACAGCGCCAGTACTACCAGTAGTGAACTCTTATAATTTTTGGTAGGGATTAAACAAATTTTTCATTCATTTGAACGTTTAGAACTTCAGATACAAATTTCTTTTTATATAGAGTGCGAAAAATGTTTCTACAAAAAAAAAATTAAAATTAATTAAAACTTTTCCTGAATGAATTTTTCTTTTTTTTTAGGTATGAGAGTTGTTAGACAAATGGAAGAGGTTCGAGAAATGTTCGAAAGAGCTTCATCAGAAGCTAAAGCTGCATTTGGAAATGGTGCTATGTTTATTGAAAAATTCATCGAAAGGCCCAGACATATTGAAGTTCAACTTCTTGGCGATAATGGAGGAAATGTTATTCATCTATTTGAAAGAGATTGCTCTGTTCAAAGACGTCATCAAAAGGTTAGAGAAAGTTTTACAAAAATTCTAAAATGGAAAAATATTTCTGATATAGAAAAAATTCAACTAAATTTATTTAAAATTTTATTTACTTCATTTAAATAAAATAAAATAATGAAAAATTGTAAATTTCAGGTTGTAGAAATTGCTCCTGCTCCAAGTTTAGATCCAAAAGTTAGAAATAAAATGACAGATCATGCAGTGAGATTAGCAAAACATGTTGGATATTCAAACGCTGGTACTGTCGAATTTTTAGCTGACGAAACAGGAAATTTCTACTTTATTGAAGTCAATGCAAGACTACAGGTTGAACATACTGTTACTGAAGAAATTACAGGGTAATAATATTAAATTTTTAACAATTTGAAAAAAAAGTTGAGAAACATAATTTTCACTATACTAATACAAAATTTCTGATACTACTAATACAAAAATTAGAAGGAATCGATTTTATTTAAATCGACTTTCACTACCAGTACAAAAATTACAAGCTCTTAAAAAATTATTTTCTGAATATTAAAAATCCGCCAAAAAGGTAGACGTACTACATAAAAGCCAAATCGAAATATAAAATTTGCTTTTTGCAGAATTGATTTGGTCCAATCGCAAATTCGCATTGCCGAAGGAATAACATTACCGGAAATGGGAATGACACAGGAAAATATAAAACCTCAAGGATATGCGATTCAATGTCGAGTTACCACTGAAGATCCTGCTAAAAGTTTTCAACCCGATACAGGAAGAATTGAAGTATTTCGATCTGGTGAAGGAATGGGCATTCGTTTAGATGGTGCTTCTGCATTTGCTGGTGCTATTATTTCGCCATATTATGATTCTCTACTTGTTAAGGTAAATTATAAAGAAATTAAATTTCTATTAACTATTATGATAATAAATTTTTGAGCCTAAATCTACATTAACCTTTTATTTTTAGGTAATTGCACATGCAGCCGATTTACAATCATCGTGTGCAAAAATGAATCGTGCACTTCGAGAATTTCGTGTTCGTGGTGTAAAGACAAATATTCCATTTTTATTGAATGTCCTTGAAAATCAGAAATTCCTCAATGGAAATGTTGACACATATTTTATTGATGAAAATCCTCAACTATTTCAATTTCAACCGAGTCAAAATCGAGCACAAAAATTATTAAATTACTTGGGTACTGTTCTTGTAAATGGTCCCAGTACCCCATTAGCTACAAATTTAAAACCAGCTGAAATTCGGCCATACGTTCCTCAAATAGCAATTGGTATGTTCTTTTCATTGTATTTATTTTATCACGTTTTTGTTATTAGCTATATTTTACTAATATTATATATTTAAAAAAAAAAATTCACTTTTATGTTTTTAGCACCAGTTGACACATTTTATTATTAGGTAGTTTCTTTTGGCACGAAAACATCAATTCTTATTTATTATTTCTTTGCTACTAATTGGGTTTTATTTCCAAATTTATTTTCACAGCTGGTTGCTAATTATTTAAATTGTATTTCTTTTTATTCTCACCTACTAGAGAAGAATTTTAATATGCGACAACAATTTGAAGAAGAAGAGGAAGATACGTTTAAATAAGAAATTCTATAAATATTTTCTTTTATAATTCATTCAAGAATAATTAATAATTAAATTTCAGTTTATATTCCAAATGTATTTAAAAACTACAAGTAAAGAATGCAAAAAAAAATATTTTTTTTAGATAAAATAGATATTTTTGTGTGTTTTTAAATTCATAAAATTATTAATCAATACATTTTCAATCATTTTCATTTATGTTTTTAATTAACAAAATTAATTTGAGAATGTATAGATGCGTTAAATTACAACGGTGATTAGAAAACTGCTAGAAAATATCACAATCATTTCACACTTTCAAACTTGTATTACACTCATTGTTTATCGCATGCTTTTATCATTTTGTTTTGCCAATTTTTTATAGACTTTGCTAAGCTTGCAGCTGCCGAAGAGTCCAGCGATGAGGACCTTCCAGGTATGAACGTATGACAAAAAAAATCCATTATTCTTCCTTTAACATTATTTATAAATATCTTTCACGCTAATAATAAATTAATTAACAATTTTAAATTAAATTCTACTTCTTTCAAATTTTGCGCAAAAATTTAATATAAAGGAACAATCTTGGATTTTCAATATTTTTATTTTCATTTTGTACACTTATAAACACCTCAAATCATTAATTAATTTGGTTTAGAATTTATTATGAATTTTGATAATTAATTTCCATTTCTATTATTTAACACATAAATAAAATATTTTTAAAAATAATTTTTTTTCACATGGAAAATAATTATCTAAATTAAAACAAAATTTTTTTTTCAAAATTCTAATTCATTTTCTCCTATTTCCAGGATCATTTAGAATCTAAGACACGCTAATATAAAATGGCTTTTATTCTTTAATTGACCAAAACCTTAATTTTGCTAAGTCTGATGATATATGCTTAACACGGTATCTGCTTATTTGATGGAAAAGAAAAATTTTCCAAAAAAAAATTGAATTAACAATATTTTTCAGGACTTTTAGATCCACCAAAAGGTTTTCGACAAATTTTAAAAGAAAAGGGACCCGAAGCTTTTGCTAAAGCTGTTCGTGAACACAAAGGTTTACTTCTAATGGACACAACTTTCCGTGATGCACATCAATCACTCCTGGCAACTAGAGTCAGATCTCATGATTTACTATTAATTTCTCCATTTGTCGCTCACAAATTCAGTAATCTTTATGCACTCGAAAATTGGGGTGGAGCAACATTTGACGTAGCTTTAAGATTTTTACACGAATGTCCTTGGGAACGTCTCGAAGATATGAGAAAAGCTATTCCCAATATACCATTTCAAATGTTACTACGAGGTGCTAATGCCGTTGGTTATACAAATTATCCCGACAATGTTGTTTTTAAATTTTGCGAACTCGCCGTTCAAACTGGAATGGATATATTCAGGGTTTTTGATTCATTGAATTATCTACCGAATCTCATTCTTGGCAAGTAAAATCAAACTGAATCATTATAGGATTTGAGCTGCTAAATTATTTTTGAAAATTTGACAGGTATGGAAGCTGCTGGTAAGGCAGGTGGAGTTGTTGAAGCAGCAATCTCTTACACTGGAGACGTAAGTGATCCATCGAGGACAAAATATGATCTCAAATATTACACGAATTTGGCTGATGAATTGGTTAAGGCTGGAACTCACGTTTTGTCAATAAAAGACATGGCTGGACTTTTAAAACCAAGAGCCGCTGGTCTACTTATTGATGCCATCAGACAAAAACATCCAGACATTCCAATTCACATTCATACACACGATACAGCAGGTGCTGGAGTTGCTTCTATGTTGGCTTGCGCTCAAAGTGGAGCTGATGTTGTTGATGTTGCCGTTGACAGTATGTCTGGCATGACAAGTCAACCTTCAATGGGAGCTGTTGTTGCTGCCCTTCAAGGTAATTCATTTTTCTAATTAGATACACAAGCAGAGAATGTAGTTTGATGAATTAGCTAAAAATTTGCTCATCAATTTACAGACACACCATTGGACACAAATTTGGAATTAAGTGACATTTCTGAGTACTCAGCCTATTGGGAACAAACACGAACTTTATACGCACCATTTGAATGCACAACAACCATGAAATCTGGCAATGCGGATGTTTATCTCAATGAAATTCCCGGTGGACAATATACAAATTTACAATTCCAGGCGTATTCCCTTGGACTTGGTGAATTTTTCGAGGACGTTAAAAAAGCCTATCGTGAAGCTAATATTCTTTTGGGTGATGTTATTAAAGTTACTCCTAGCTCAAAAGTTGTTGGTGATCTCGCACAATTTATGGTTCAAAATAAATTAACTGCCGACGATGTACTCAGTAAGGCTGAGGAATTATCATTTCCAAAATCAGTTGTTGAATTTCTTCAGGGTGCCATTGGTGAACCATATGGTGGTTTTCCAGAACCTCTTAGATCAAAAATTCTTAAGGATATGCCACGTGTGAAAGGAAGACCTGGAGCAAATCTTGCGCCTCTTGATTTTGAAAAAGTAAAAAAAGAAGTCAAAGAAGCTCATCCACAAGCAACAGATAGAGATGTTATGTCTGCAGCACTTTATCCAGAAGTGACAAATGATTATTTAACTTTTAAGGAATCATTTGGACCTGTTGATAAACTTGATACAAGAATATTCCTTACAGGACCTAAAGTTGGTGAAGAATTTGACGTTACCATTGAAAAGGGAAAAACTTTAGGTATCAAGACTCTAGCAATGTGTGAAGATCTTACTGCTAATGGAGAACGCGAAGTGTTCTTTGAAATGAACGGTCAATTGAGATCAGTCTTCATTAAGGACAAAGAAGCTGTTAAGGTAATATTTAAGTGTTTTCACATAATTAATTATTAAATTAAATAATATGCATTTATAAAAAAAATACAATTTTTTCAATTTAAATCATTTTTTTTTAGGAACTTCATTTTCATCCAAAGGCAAACAAGGCGGATAAAAGTCAAGTCGGTGCACCAATGCCAGGTTCGGTAATTGATATTAGGGTAAAAGTTGGCGATACAGTGGAAAAAGGAGCAGCTTTAGTTGTACTTTCTGCAATGAAAATGGAGATGGTAGTTCAGGCACCGAAAGCTGGAAAAATAAAATCTCTCGAAATCACACAAGGAATGAAATTGGAAGGTGAAGATCTCCTCTTAACAATGGAATAAAAATTGTCTGGCAAAAATATCTAAAGAGATTTTCCTAACGAGCTGGTCTCGTCACACATCAAAAAAAAAAAAAAAAAGTTTAGAAACTTTTTCTTAAATGAAAAAAAGCAAATTAATTATCATTAAGCACATGTGAATTAATTAATATCAACATCCGTTAATCATTTAAAGATTTAAAAAATCTATGATGGACTATAAACTTGCATCGAATTTTATGCGAAATTATGAAAAAAACATTATTGCGCTTGCAATAATGTCATTGGAACGAAAAATTTAGATGTCAATTAATAATTTGTCCGTCTTAATTTGTAAAGTTTATATAGAAAAATAGTATAGAACATTTTTTGTAAATTTTTAAAGAATCTTTCACAAAATGTTTTTTAAAAAAAAGCGATTAAAGTCAAATAAGTGAGGAATTGAAAACAAATCAATTAAATATAGTCAATAATTTGATGAATTAGTAATAAATTTAATTAATTAATAATTACGAAATAAATTACTAATTCCTTACATATTAATTAATAAAGAAATTTCGAGAATTGAGTCCGATAACGATTTTTAAATACAATTTTTTAATGTTTATTTGCACAAGAATCGTATTCAATGAAAAAAAATATTCAAATGCGAAAATTAGTTAAATTTTTTAAATAGCACAAGACACCACATACCATTGCCATATTAAAGCCTTATCAAATGTATATTAATTGAACGTTACTCAACAATTTTAAGTAAATGTTATCAATTCGGGACAAGAAGATAATTAATTTCCTTGATTATAATAATATATAGTTATACAATCATCGATCGAAATATATATTAAATAAAAATATTTAAAAAAATAGTGCTTCCAAATTAGAAAAAGAGAAACGAATTTAACAAGTGAATCGAAAAGAATATTGTTGTAGAGTTTATTTAATTGTTTTTTTTTTAATGAAATGTTAATTGTTTTCATATTAAGAAAATATTATAAAATAGATTTATAATAAATGTACAAATTAAAATTTATATTTGTAATTCTTGATTCTTTTGTGTTTTATTTTTATTTATGCATTGAAATTTTTTTTTTTTTTGAAATTAGATGAGCCAAAAGTTTTGAACGTTCAAATGAACAAAATTTTTTTTTGAAACTTCTTTAAGTACGAATTTTATTACAAAATTTTTGTTTTAAATATCTAAAAAGAAATTATTAATTTAATAATTGTTTAATTTATTGTTTTATTTTACATTGACATGATAATTTTAAATAATTTATAGATTGAAAACAATATTTCGTTCATTTGAACGTTCAGAACTTTTGGCTCATGAAATTAAAGCATATTTGCATAAATACTTTTAACAAACATAATCTTTAATTCAAAATAAAAATTTTCTTTAATATCAAAAACTTGTTTTTGCCTTTAAACATTAATTTTTTGTCTTAAAGAAAATTTATTTGAAAAAATGTAAAAAAAAAAATTTTTTATTTTTTTATTAATAAATAAATTTGTGTGTTAAATATTAAAATATTTTTTTTATGAAATTTGTTTAAACATTTCTATTTATTTTAACGTTTCAATAATTTGCAATTTTATCATCGAAATTTAAATTTTAAAGAAAGCACATCTTTTTCAAAATGCAAATTGTTGTCTCATATATTTATTTATAAAGTTTGAATATAATTTTTATGATTTTTTAAAATAAAAATAGTAAATTACAGGGAGTTAGGGCTGAAAACGACAAAAAAAAATATTCCTGTCAGAGTTGAGTAGAGTAAATAATGCCCGGAGAAAAAAAAGTTAGTTCTTAGCTAATATTTAACTACTGCTATTATATTGATAGCAATTTTTTTTATATATTAATAAAAAAGATTACAGAAATAATATCCGTCAATGGCGTCATACTAAGTATGTTGTTTCAATTTAATAAATAAAAATTTAAAAAAACAACTCACCGATTTCGAAATCCGACGTCGAAGCGTTCTCAGCCCTCTTTTAAAACTCCTCTTTATGGTCTATCTTGCTGAAGACATCTTTGCCCTTCATCATTCTCTAGACTGCCTGAAAAGATTCAAAAATACATATAATTATTATACTTAATATAATACTATGACAAAACGTGTGAAATAATCATTAAGGTATTAGTCCATATCTCATCAACTTTAGAAAAAAATTTCTTAAATAAAATCATAATATAAAAATTTCCCAAAAAACTATAATTTTATTCTCTAATGATAATTTATTGTTCAAGATTTCTTAAATTTCGTGAAATTAAGATTTTAATTCTATAGACAAATAATTTTTTTCTATATTAATAAACTTACAATGAATTGCGCTTTTCTGTGCCCGATTTTTTTCCCAAGAAGCTGCACTCAAAACACTTCCCTGTTAAAAACACTCACAACACACGACCGCCTAATAAAATACATAATATAAAGTACTATTTAACGAAAGAACGCGAAAGAAAGAGTGCATTTACTCGAAAAATTATTACAAATATAAAATATCCGTAGGACTAAATAATGCACGTGCCCGGCTTTCACAAACGTAGTGTATATGGCAAAAAGAACAAAATTTTAACCTATAAAATTATAATTAGGCTAGTTAAAAAAATGAGTTATACGGAGAGAAATTTAGTAAAACTAAGAAGATGCACTTAAAAAATTGAAATAGATCAAAATTTTATGCGATATTCTTGAAAATATACTGACTTTTTCCGTCTTTAAAGCAAGAATTTGATATTACACTTTTAGCAAACACGAGTTCACATTTTTAGAGTAACGACCGAAAATATTTTTTGGACACTTTCGTTTAGTTAAATCGACAGTTAGAATGATAAATTTGTTTGCGAAATAAACAAAAACTTTTTGTAAATGAATTTGCTCGGAAATACGTAACTTCTTTGCCGCGCTTAAAAGCAGGGTGCATTCACTAGCACTCACAACGTCACGACTTGAAGTTTGTTGCAAACGAACGCGATCGTAGCGCTGTGGCGGACATTTTCTGAAACATACATTTTGCGTTATAAAACGTAAAGAACAGGTGTGTTTATATTATGACAAGCTGTCATAATAAAATTTATAAATTCTAGTTTACGAATTATAATTTAATGAAAAATTGACACTAATTTTACAACAAAACATCAAAATGATTTCACCAAATAGTGAGACTTGTGATCTTCAAAGTGTCATTTTACAAGAACAGGAAAAGGAGGTTAGCTGCTATTGTCTTTTTTATTTATAGAGAATTTATTGAACCAATAATTCAAGGACTAAACCTTGAACAACATAGAGGAAAATTTAATAAAAATGAAAATGTCATCTATTTAGTGTAAATCTTGAATAATTATTTATTTTTATTATATAATGTAGTTGTATTCTCTGATTTAATAATGTACATTATTATTATATTCTTTGTCTCAATATATAATTCATTCTTTAATAAATTACTTTAACTCTTTGTCATAGATGACACATGTTGATTTAAAGAAAAAACCAAAAAGAATATTAAAATTTTGTGATGGAGAAATTGAGGAGTATTCTTCAGAAGATGAAGTTGATAATTGTCCACAAAAGCAAATTGCAAATATAGATCCTGTAAGTATTTGTCTTTTTTATATTAGGTAATAATCGAAAATATTCATTTTTTTTTCTAAATCTATAGAAAAAAAGAATAATTACTATTTTTCTTTTCTTAAAAAAGAAAACGTTGAACTGGTTGCCATGGGCTTGGTACCAAACTACCTGGGCAAGTGGAAAAATTTTAGACGGTTGTGATTATGTTGGAGAACATTTAGCTGAATTTTTTGGTATAACAACACCAAAATATCAATTTGAAATTGATGAATACTATCGAGTGAGAGCCGCTGAAGAAGATATGTTAAGAAGAGAAGATCTTGAAATGGGTGGTTGGACTGAACGCAATAAAAATAATCTCATCGAAAGAAATGAGGTAAAATTCTATAAACCAAAAAAAAAAAATCCCTTTCATTATTCACAATGATGTTTGAAAAATTCACTGTCAATGTTTTTATATAATTTCCAGTCGTGAAAGCCTGGACACAAAATTTGATGTATTGCACCGCTTCAAGTACACACGATATTTAATGTAATTTGTGGAAAGCCTTAACAAACAAACAAAAAAAAGCAATTAAGCCAAATGGACTAAACAAAATTTCTTTTATACACGTTCAAGGTGATGACGTCCAACTGCTGTGTCTCTTGCTTCAAGTTGAGCAATATATTTAAAAACAAATTTAAAAAGTATATACCATAAATATTCTATTTTTATTGTACTCATAATACTAATTGTAAAATACAAATGAATTTATTGCCTAATCAGTATAATAAAATATAAAAAAAATTTATTTCATCAATGTATAAAAAAAGAATTTTTTATTTATTTTTTATTTAAAAAATGTCAGGGACCATTCTGACTAAATTTGTACAATATAGGCTAATAAATGCGTTGTCATTTTGAATATTGTGTTTCAATTATTGCAAGTAAAATGGTATTTTATTGTTTTTTTTTTCAACAACCATTCTTTGTTAAACTTAAAAACTCTATAAAATAGGAACTTTAAAAAAAAAACAATGCTAATCTTAACATTTAAATTGTGATCACATATATCTAACAATATAATATTGAACAAAATAGAGTTTATAAATAAAACTTAAGAAAAACAAGAATTTATGTCTCAGGCACAAATCTGTGCAAAGCACTAGTTAATACCAATAAAGAACTTTGAAGACCCTGTGGAAGATGTCTTTGTAGCCAGGCACCCTTGTATTGTTCAATGTGAGCCAACATTTTATTTGCAACGTCTGTTCGAAAGGTAGGTGGTAAATTGCTGATACCTAAATTAATTACTGCCAATCCCATATTACTGTTTGGATTGACTCCAACACCAATTAATGTTCTTCCTATTTTACATGCCGTCAACATCAGATCTGCAGTCAATTGAAGTTCCTGCATTTCCATCGAGGCAAACTTTGAGGTGACATTTCCCTCATAAAGAGAGTGAGAAACTCGTTTTATTTGTTTCGTCATTTTCTGGGAGGGGAAAAAAAAAGGTGCGAGGCTCATTATAAAATAGATTACAGAAATTAGAACTAATTATAGTGTCTATTAAAATTCGAAAATTCTTTAATTTAAGAAAAATAAAACTTACCAAAAATAAATCAGATGAAAGATATTCTAGATTAACATTATCGGGATCAGTTAACAATCTGTATAATGTCGATCCTCTATTATCAGGTATCTGTTGCAAATCATCAGCACTTTGATTTTTACTCAAAATTAAAACAAATGTATCGATACGTCCTAATTCCAAAATTGCACTTCCTATTCTATATTCCAAGTCGTAAAATATATGAGAGTCTAATAATTTGCTTAATGATCGATAACTGAAAAAATAAATTTCAATTTAAAGAATTTTTTTTTATTTAATAATTTAAAAGTTTCACTTTTTTTTCATACTTACTGACGCTTAACTGGTCCACTTTGCTCGCAATTATCACATGTTTCGGTGAATCCCATATCAATTTCAGTAGCTGGATTCCACGATAATCCAGCTCCAATTAAATATCCGACCCACGCAAATGTATGAGGAGTCAAATGATGACTTCCCGACCAGTGAGCCACAATTATACCAATCGAATCTTGCTCAAGTGCAGTTTTTACAGCATTTTTTGTATTTGCAAAAGTTGAGGCCGGACAACCGGCAAGACTATTGTAACTCGCAGTCCCTGAACTTGGAAGTACATTTCCTCCAGCAACTCGAAATGGCTCGGTCCATTCAGAAAAATCATAATCTGACTAAAATAAAAATCATTCACATTTGAAATATTTTTTATAAATTTCCTTGTGAACCAAACAAATTTTTGTTTAAAAAACTCACCTGAAAACCGTATTCTACTAAAATCACATTACTAGAAACGCTACGAAATTCCACCTTGGAATGTAGACCATTTGAACACAGCAGCAAAGTAGTATCAAAGTTTAAATTTAAAATGTGCCACAGCTCTTGTAAACACGAGTATGATTTAAATACTTCCGACATATCAGTCTCAACAGTCTCGTTAATCGAGACATTTAAATCTAAATTGTCCGGTTGTACTAACAAGCTAGCTAATCTTGGACCCACATGAACATAACTTAAACTTGGAAATGTTGCAAGTAACTCTTGAAAAATAGGCCACATTTGAGAAAGATGACGCTGTGTCACATTTGAATCAACATCGAGTGCCGGCACTAAATCCAAATGACGATCTCTGAAATAAATTTTTTTTCCCGAATTAATAAAAATTACTATATTATTTATAGATATAAATAAATTACATACTTGCAATAACGATCGAGAGTGACCATTTCCGATCTCGAATAACAAAGTTGCCAATCATAACTTGGTGTCAGTCTTGAATACAAATGTAAATGTGATATTTTAAAAGCCGACCACAAATCAATCATGTGCAGTAGATATTCCAAAGTAGGAATACGTCCCCTTGGCGAGATATCGAGTAATATTCCACGATGTTTAAATCGTGGTTCATCTTTTATCATAACACTTTCGAGTTCACAAACCTCCGGTGCATTTGGATTTCTACTCAGTCTAAGAATTTGCACAAAAGTACAAACAGCATAATGTAAACCAGCTAAACTTCCAGCGCTAATTTTAATTGCATTTTGTGATATGTGAAGTTGATAACCTTCTTGTACATTAAAAAGTTTCTTATTCACTATGCATTCTATTCTATTATCAGCAAGCCATCTTCCTGATGGCGGTTGAACCTCACCAATTTTCACATCAAATCCAAGTTCCAATAAATGCGTTCTACTAATTTCCCACACATCGAGAATTTTATGAATTGATTCCGTACCCTATGGAAATATTAACAATTTAACAAAAATCTTATTTCATTAATAATAATAGTACTAAAATGAAATGAATTGATTTTAAAATTAAAAACCAAATCTAAAATTAATAATTTACCTGTATTATAGAAATAAAGAGCTCTTTGCCGACAATAAATGGCGATGACGAATTACCAAGTTCTAAAATAGTTTTTGGCTCGGGCCATAAGAGACTGTAAATTCCATTTTTATTAGCTATCGATCTAAGAGGACTTTCAATGCTTGATTCACGATTGGAAATTTCGTATCCTGGCTCTGAAGATTTATTCGATTCCAATGAAGGTTGACTTGTGTGTATAGAGACATTTTGCTGCTGAACAAAATTAACATCAGAAAATTGATTCGTTGGACTGTGTAAAGCTTCACACTCTTTTGAAAATGAATTAGGCACAAATTTTTGAAATAAGGCTCGTAAGGCAGGATTAACACGTGCAAGATCATATGGAGTTTTCCCCGTGAATTGTCTAAAAATAAACAAAATTAATTTTCTCTATTTCTCGTTTAAATATCCAATGAGAAATAATACAGTTATTTTAATATTTCATTTTAAATAATAATGCATTAATTTAATTTTATCAATTATTTTGATTATTGAATTACCCCTTAATTGCACGAATAAGTGGATTTGCTCCTGAACATAATAATTCCTCACAAATTGTGACATCACCACGATTCACAGCATCATGTAGAGGTGTAGCACCACAACCATTTTGTGAATTTACATCTCCTCCTCTGTCTTTTTTTTTAATGGAAAATTCACATAATTTATAAAATTGAATTAAATAAGGCTAAAAATTAAAAAAAAAAATTATTTTAATTAAAATAAATCATACCAATTAGAAAAGCGACAATCTCTTTGTTGCCGTAACATGCAGCCCAGTGTAATGGAGTATTTTTACTGCCCTCAGAATCCCAGGAATTGACATTTATACCAGAGACTAATAGTTGTTCTACTCTTTCTATCCTAAAAATCAAGATTTTACATTCGTTATAAGAAAATATCTTCAGCATTAATATATTTATTTTATTAAAATTGAATTTCTCGAAAATAATAAAAAAAAGATTTTATTTAATTAAATTTTTACATTTATTTAAAATTAAACTCTTTGAAGAAAAAAACAAATTCTTTTTTGAATAAAATTTTTTTTTTTTTTATACTTACTCTGAAGCTGCTGTTGCTCTCAATAATTCTTCCACATAAATGTGACGAACTATTTCACTGGAAGCAACATCTAGTGCATTATGACCCTGGGCATTTTGAATTGCCGGATCAGCACCACAACTTAATAGTGTTCTAACGACGTCTGCTTGGTTAGCCTTAAAATAAATATTGTTTAATTAAAAGAGTTATATAAATTATTTTAAAAAAACAATTATACTAGATTGTATTTTTAATTGTAATTTAATTTAAATTTTGATAAATCATCTTAATTATTAAATTTGACATTTTACCTTTGAAGCATAACACAAGAAAGTCCCTTCATCTAGTAGTGGTTGATTTAGAATTTTATCTTTAGTAATACCATCGTTAGCATTTCCATTATCGCCTATAAGTAAATTATAAATTAAGTAAATCCTATTTATTAAATAAAAGATGCTTTTTGAATGTAATACACGATAAATATTTTTAATATTTTCAAATAAATAACAATACATATATATTTGTCAAGATAGCATTTGAGGTTATGTTATATACTTACATGCTTCTAGTATAGATCTTATAATATCTGTACGACCGTGTTCTACTGCTGTGCGAATATTTTCACAAATATCTTGCATTTCTAAGCCTATTTATTTAAATAACATTATTTTTTAACACTGTAAATCATAAAATTCAGAGCCACGTCTCACTGTCAAATCTATTTTGACAACCTTTTGTCATTGCATTTAAAACAAATATAATTTATTGTTCAAGAACAATCATTTAAAATTAATTACCACGAAACGTTTTGTGATGTTTAAAGTTTAAAAATACTTAAAAAAAACAATTTATTTATATTAAAAAACAATATATTATTTTAGATAAATTTTAAAAACCGATTGGGAAATGTCAAATATAAACACATTTATTGAGCAAAAGAAAACCAGGGATGGGTTATAAGTGTACAAGAAATTCAGACATTTTTTCTGATTGGATTATAAATATCCATTTCTTCTCTGTCCACCAATTACAAATCATTTAATAACATTTATGTAATGCGCTTAATTCAAATATGCTTAATAAACAATGTGAAATATGAAATTATAAGAACAAATTAGAATAAAAATTTTTGCAAAAAGAAGTCAACGTAAAAAAGCATATTTAATGAGATGTTTTTCATATTTTGCTTAATTTTGTCTTAACTTGAAATAGAATTATAATTGGAAATAATGGAAATGACAAATAACCAAGAGACTCTTGTGGAATAATGAAAAGTGATTGGTTCTTTGAGCTGTCAAAGATGCGCATGAAAATAGCAGACAACAGTGTCTTTACAAGTAGACACTTTTTTTTATTTTACACAAATAATAATTATTTTAGAAGATTAAATTATTCAAATTTTAAACAATAATCTATTAATTATAATAAAATGTCACTGAACGTTTTACGATGTGGAGTGGTAGGAGGCCGTAATGTTCAAAAAATGAAAGAAATTTCCCATTTTCTAACAAAAAAGCTCCCTATGCTAGATTCAAGAATTAGAAATTATGCAAAGGTAATGAATTTTTACTTTTTTTCACTTAAAATATTTAATTATTTATTTCATTTCTGCATTATAAATATCTAGAGATAATAAGAATTACTTCTGTTATGAATTTTAAATTAATCAAACTTGTTTGAAGTCATTACAGATACAGTTTTTTTTCTACCTTTACATAATCATAAGATACATCTAAAAGTCCTAAAAATAAACATAAAAAATATGTATTTATTTTCTTTGTAGATATTCAATTTAAATTGATAATTACCGTTATCTTTAGATATAAATTACATTTAAGGTTTTCCATAAAGGTGTTATGATTTTCACTTTTTTATTTATTTATAATAAGTTTTTGTTTAAATATTAGAAAAATAACAAAAGAAAACAATCGCATTAATAATATATGTATTGTTTAAAACTTTCAGATGTTTTTGTCACTATTATTTGTCAGTTGTAAGTTTTGAAAAAATATCCCCAAAAATGAGGATAATAAACAAATAATAAATTAATATTAATTTATAAGTAAATTAGTAAATATTAATTATAATTATAAAATGAAAAGGCCTAAAATGGTTCTATAATTTTAAATGACATATATATATATATATATACATTTATTATTATTTATTAGTTTAGAACATTTGTATAAAAGGAAATTTATATAGTCATTCGCATTATTAAAAAGTATTAAAAAATTTTAGAATAAAGAATTTTTTTTCAAAATATTATATTGAACATTACATTTTTTAAAAGAAATTTTTTAGAAAACTATTGTGTTTATTTTTGTTATTTATTTAAACATGTTTCTAATTATATTTTAATTTTAACAAAAAGTTTAAATGTTAATTATATTTATTTTTTTATAAACATCTACGAAATTTGATATTTTTATACTTTATAGAAAAATTAAATTTTAATGTATCGAAAAAGTTATCTTTGCATAATTAATATCTTTCCTTTTACTTAAATTAAATTATTTCTTAAACTATGTATATGAAAAGCTTCTGTAGAATCTTTTGCTCTTGTTTTATAACCATATATAATCGTTACTATAAACCACCTCACACATATACAGTACAATATCTATCTTATCATAACTGGATTTGTCGCCTTTAGTATTAACTCATCTATCAACTTGTTTGTTCCACAAAATCTTGTACCTATTTCTTGTATTAAAAATGGTGTGTTTTTATTTAATTGTCAGATCATAATTATTGTATTAAATTATTACCTTAACTATTACTTATTAACTAATTATTAATTCTGTAATAACATTTAATATTATAACAGAAAACCAATTTTATATAAAGGATTTGTTGATTTTCTTTAGTTTATTTGATGTACTTACTACTTTAAGAATTACATTATTTTTCTTATTCTTTTTATTATTAAAAATAATATTCTTATTAATGTAATTAAAATCAAGTTTACTTTTGGACCAAAAGTCAATTAATAAATAATAATATTCTTATTACCCTCAGGAAGGTGCTCAAGGTTATCGTATGGAAAGAGACACATTTGGAGAATTAAAAGTACCAGCTGATAAATACTATGGAGCTCAAACTCTTAGATCTGTTATGAATTTTCCAATCGGTGATTCATTTGAACGTATGCCGGTAATGCAAAATTTTCCATTTACAAAAGAATTTATCAATTTGATAAAATTGAATTGTTGACAAAATATTTTTTTCCGTTATATATTTTTAAATCTCTTTAAAAAAAAATAGAAATTTCTTTAATTTAATAATAATAATTCTATTTATATATGCGTCAAAAGATTTTTTACAGAATTTTTCTAATATTTCTTTTGTTTCATAAAAATATAATATTAATAAAAGAAACTTGAATTTAAAAATTCTAAATCGCTTATAAAAGCGAAGTTATTTTTAATGATTATAAGGAAAATTATTTATTTTTTAGTATGGTGTTATTGTCGCTATGGGTATTTTGAAAAAAGCCGCTGCTGAAGTAAATAAAGAATTTGGACTGGATTCAAAAGTGTCAGATGCTATTAGCAAAGCTGCGGATGATGTGATTAGCGGGAAGCTTTATGAAGAACATTTTCCTTTGGTAATTTGGCAAACAGGATCAGGAACTCAAACGAACATGAATACAAATGAGGTTTGTAATATAGAATTTTTATTATATTTCATAAAATTAAAAAATTTATCTCCGTAAAATTGAAATATAGGTGATAGCAAATCGTGCTATTGAAATTCTTGGCGGTGAACTTGGCTCGAAAAATCCTGTTCATCCAAATGATCACGTCAACATGTCACAAAGTTCGAATGATACATTCCCAACGGCAATGCATATTGCTGTAGCACTTGAAATCAACAAAATCTTGTTACCCGGCTTACAGCAATTACATTCAGTCTTAAAAAAGAAATCCGAAGAGTGGAAAGACATTATCAAAATTGGAAGAACTCATACTCAGGATGCCGTTCCATTGACACTCGGTCAAGAATTTTCTGGTGAATTGAATTTTTAATTATTATAATACTAATCTCAATTTTTTCTAAATAATTATTCTCATAATTCTTTATTAAAATTATTAGGTCATAATATTCAAACATGAATTTACCTTTAATTTTTTTCTTAAACTTTAAATTTTTCAAAATATTTCATTTTTTTTGTGAATTCAATTATATTAAATTTGATTAAAAAAAAAGATTCCAAATTGATTTAGAGGAATTTGTTTGTTTCTATTTAAATAAATAAATAAATTCCCCAATTTTAATGGACACTCAGAATATTTAATTAAAATTTTTTTTTCTCGCCAGGATACGCAACACAAATTGAATATGGAATTGCAAGAGTCAAGGATACATTGCCAAGACTTTATCAATTGGCTCTTGGTGGAACAGCTGTTGGAACGGGATTAAATACTAGAAAAGGATTTGCGGAAAAAACTGCAGCGAAAATTGCTGCTTTAACTGGTTATCCTTTTGTTACGGCTCCCAATAAATTTGAAGCTCTCGCAGCTCACGATGCTCTTGTTGAAGTTCATGGAGCTTTAAATACAGTTGCAGTTTCTATCATGAAGGTAAGAACTTATATTTTTAATTTTTATTCATTATTAAATAATTAGTTAATTAATTATTAGAAAAATTAAATTATTTTAAAAAATGAATTATTAAATTTAAAAAAATCTAATAGTAACTAATTGACCAAAAATTTATAATATTTTATTGGTTTTAAAAATTTTTTTTGAAATATTTTTTTAAATGATAACAACTTTTTTTTATTAATTTTTTTTATTGTCATTTATTATTAATTTAAACTTTTCGCAGAACGTGTAATGAAAGAGATCATTAAATTATTTAAATATTTTTATTATTCTATAGACTTACGGATACTAAAGCTATAATAAACAAATGGTTTAGAAAAATTATCACATTAATATTACAAATATCGACAAAACGTTTTAAATATATACTTAAATATAAAAATTAAAGAAAATATCCACATTCTTATCACATTGACTTGATCGTACTTTTCATTTTTCTTTTTTTTTTTATGAAGACATATTTTAATTTTACAAAAATAATAGTGTATTTAGAATTATCTTCTCTTTTTTTTAAAAAATGTTTATTATAAAAAATTTTTATTTCCTTTGATGAAGAAAAAAAGAGATTTCTTAAAAAATATTTGGAATTCTGATTAGATGTAATATTTTTTTCTGCCTAATGAGCAAAAAATGTAATATGGCACAAATTAATTTTCCTCCATTTCATTTGTTATCAAAAATCTGTAGCATCCTCGGAATATTAATTACATGTAGTTAAAAAAAATTTAACTGATAAAGAATTGAATATTATAATTCATTACAAAAAAAAGTAATAAATCAAATTAAAAAATTTTCTTTCATATTATCGATCGATTTCATCGATTTCCTCGATAATTTTATTCGTTGGTAGTATACGATTAGATAATTGCTGAATTAGTTGTTCGTGTCGTCTTGGATTTTGTTGTTGTTGTTCTCCTTGTGCTGGCTGTTGTTCTGGACCTTGACCAGCATTAGGTCTTACTGCACGCCAGCGTGGAACGGGAAGATTTTGAGGTACTCGATTTCTTTCTATTGGTTGTATTCTACCGAATAAATAATTTTCAACACGATTCGGCTGTTCTGCCGATGCTTCCCAAATAAAATGCGCTTCATAAACAATTAATCCTTCACGAGGTTCTGCTGGACGATATAATCTTCTTCTATATGCTGGAGAATTTAATCTCGGATCAACGAGTCCGGGCATTTTTTAATGTCAATTCCAATTGTTTTATAAGCACCTGAAGAAAAAAAATTACACTTTTTTAAATTTAATTTTTTATTTAATTCATTTTTTTCAAAGTTAACTCTCATTTTTCAATTTCGACCAAATTGATCAATTTTTTTTTTAACTTTCATTGCGAAGCTAAAAATTTTTCCAATAATATGTAAAATAATATTATTATTTTAATTAAATATCATAAAAACTGCAGTAGTCGGACATTTTACAAATTAATTATTGTAATGAATTATTATTTATTTGCCAAAAAAAACATAAAAATATCCAACTATGTAAATGAAAAATGCTTTAAAATTTTACTAGTACATTTGAGGAACAACACCTCACGCAAAAGATTTTAAGGAAACTAATCCGAAACAAAAATTGAATCATATAATTATACACGAAATTTTAGTCTTATTATAATATTTTGAATTTTAAATACAAAATATTGTTGATTAAAAAACAAAACAAAAAAACTGTCAAAAATATGTACAGTGAATTTATTTAAGAAAAATTAATTTTTGACCTTGAAAAATCATGAATAAATTTGACTCATTTTACAACACTTTTTCTGTTTTAATACAGTACGAAAGCAGTGGTTTTTTTGCCTTTAAAAATTAATTCTTAAAGAATAAAAAAGATAATATATTAAAAATATAATATTAATATAATAAATTATAATATATTATAATATATTAAAACAAAAGAGTGTTTTAAAATAAGTCAAATTAATTTTTGATTTTTAAGCCCAATAGATTTTTTGTAATTTTTAGCGATATGCGTGAGAATTAAAAGTTCTAACAATTAAATAATAAATAAATTAAAATGTTTTTTTTTTAAATAAAAAATGTCAATATTTAATTTAAGTTTTCTTTAATTTAAAAAAAAGTCAATTATTTTTACATACCTTTTTTGTTGATGAACGTTTTGTCTAGGATGAGTCTTGTTTTAATAAACAGCACTTGGAATTGTAGTTTTGTAATTTGTAATTCTTATTATTTTGGCCTCAACTACACTCTGGTGTCACTGACTTCTCTTTATGAAGATCTGACATGTACTGTAAGTTTGTTTTCAAAAATTTGTCACAGGTATGAAATAGAACCCATCCCTCTCCCCCTTCTCTCAATAGTAAACATAATGACTTGTGTGTATCCCTCAATTATATAGATTCGCTAATTGAGCATCCTTTAAATTCATTGGTGCCCTACTCCAAAAATTTCCCTTGAATGGTACCAAAAAACTCATTAGAATGCAAATTTTCTAAATTACAAAAATATTCTTGAAATATTAATAACATATGTTAGTAATTTCAACATTTTGAAACACACATAAAAACTAAATATGCATATGTAGTAGAAAACAATTGACAAACATCACTTATAATTTTCTTTTTTTTTGTAATCGAATTTAAGACAGTTTTTTCATTCTCGAATTAAAAATTAAAATTTTTCTTTTAAAGCGCTTAATTGAAAATTAAAATTGTAAATGACTCGAAAGTGGGCGAATTTTTCTTAAAATTGAAAAAAGATATTGGAATAAATTTTGATTTAAAATTATAATTAAAATAATTAATTTTATTAATTATCAATTAATTAAAATTAATTAATCGAAATATGTTTTAATTTACGAAAATAGTTTTATAAGCTCATTATATTTTATTTATTTTCCTTATAGATTGCCAATGACATTAGATTTTTGGGTAGCGGCCCACGATGTGGTCTTGGTGAATTGTCATTACCTGAAAATGAGCCTGGAAGTTCCATTATGCCTGGTAAAGTTAATCCAACACAATGTGAGGCGATTACCATGGTTTGTGCTCAAGTTATGGGAAATAATGTTGCAACAACAATTGGAGGAAGTAATGGTCATTTTGAACTCAATGTCTTTAAACCAGTAATTGTCGCAAATACATTGAGATCAGCACGATTATTAGGAGATGCAAGTGCTGCATTTACGAAAAATTGTGTCGCAGGCATAGAAGCAAATAGAGATAACATTAAAAAAATTATGAATGAAAGTCTCATGTTAGTTACTGCCCTTAATCCACACATTGGCTACGATAAGGTAATAGTTTTTTTTCTTGCTTCTCAAATAACAAAATTGATAATTAAATAAATTTTTACTTATTTTTAAATTTAAAAAAATTTTAATAAGTTTCTATTTATTTTTAAAATTAATTAATATTTTTTTCTAAATAGATGTTGAATAATTTTATTGATACATGATAATTGTTAATTTACTTTAGGCGGCAAAAATTGCCAAGCAGGCGCATAAGGAGAAACTGACATTAAAAGAATCTGCATTGAAAAATGGCCTCACTGAAGAGCAATTTAATCAATGGGTCAGACCCGAACAAATGCTTGGACCCAAATAGAAACTGTAAAAAGAAAATGAATCATTAATCTATATATTATATTGTACTATTTAAAAAATAGTACTCATTATCGCGCATTCTAACAGAATATTTGTACATTCAAATAATTTAGTGTCGTACTTATATCTTTTCTTAAATACTTTTAATTTGTTGTCAATTTAATCAAAAAATATTTTCATATATTTTTCAATATTAATAAAAGAATGATTTTTCCTGTTACTCTAAACGTTTAAAATTATTTTCAAATCAAAAAATCTGAAAAAATTTTAATTCTAAAAATTATCAATCTTATTTTTATTACTATTATTGTACTGCAATTAATTAAATTAATTGTATAACATTATTTGTTAATTTTACATATTGTATTTCATTATTTATTTTATGAATATATATATAATTATTTTTTTTTTTTTGTTATTTAATTTAACAAACTTTTATTATTTTCAACAATTTAACAACGAATTCTCTGTGAAGAAAAGAGTTTTTCAATTTAATAGTGAAATAGATTAAGAAAAATTATCGAAAGTCAAAGGTCACAATGTAGAGGAGGTTGCTTTCTGATTATGAAAGAAACAAACAGAAAACATTTTCACTTAAACCTAAGCATCGAGAAGCGACTTTTTGCTTTGCTTTTATTTTCTTAAATTTAAGGGTTAAAAAGAAGTATATTCTTTGGTAGTGTTAAGAAAATGTTTGCTAAGGTTCAATCGACGCTGATAAAAAAAATTGGACAGAGAAATTTTGGAAAAGTTGGCATCATCGGAGTTCCTTTTGAAAAAGGCCAGGTAGTCATTTTTTTTTGTTTTTCACTTTTTTTTTGTTTATTTATTTTTTGTATTTAATTATTATATTACTTTTGCTGATAATATTAAATGTATCATGTCAAAGTTATAATTTATTGTGTAATATTAAATTAAATTTATTTAATTTATATTATTAAAAAAATATTAAATAATTTCAGAGTAAAATAGGAGTGGCAAAAGGTCCGGATGCAATAAGAGCCGCTGGACTTATTACAGAATTACAAACAGTTGGTGAGTTAAATTCATTTTTGCTTTGTTATTATTAAAAAAAAAAAATAATAATAACTAATTTCATTCATTTGCTAAAAATAAGAGAAAAATAGTCAAGGATTTAAAATAATTACAATTTTTATTGCTTCTCAATTGTTTTTTTCTGTTATATATTTGTATTTTTCTTACATGTATTGTAAGATTATTGTTTCGGAACTCCATTCTCAGAATTGAATAATTATGTTGTCTATAATTTTTTTTTACATACAGACAATTCGAAAATAAATAATAAATAATGTTTATTAGTTGTCTTTTTTAGGCTGTTATTTTTTTAAAATAAATTATTGAAAGACGTTTAAGATTAAATTAAAAAATGTGATTTAATATTTTATACATTTTGCAGGATTAGATGTTCATGATTACGGAAATGTCGCCTATACACCAGAGGAACTTCCCCCTGTAGTAGACAATATGTCACATTTAGGTGAAGTGGCAGCATGTACACATCGAGTGTCACAACTTGTTCAACAAGCTTTGAAAGATCAAAGGCGTGTCATTACATTGGGTGGCGATCACAGTGTGGGGATTGGTACAATAGATGGACACGTAAAAGTTGGTGTTAAAAAAAAATTCTAAAATTTTCAAAAATTGATATAATGCTTCATTTAAAAAAATTACTTTTTTGCTCATTAGGTACATGAGGATGTTGCTGTTTTGTGGGTCGATGCACATGCAGATTTAAATACAAATAAGACCAGTGAAAGTGGAAATGTTCATGGAATGCCAGTAGCTCTTCTCACATCGGAATTGTCAGATTACTGGCCACATTTACCTGGAATGGATTGGCAACAACCGATGTAATTATTTATTTAAGCGTATAATTACTAATTTAATCCGTCATATGAAATTTTCTTTACAATCGTGACGTTAGAGTTGATTTATTATTTGACTATAATAATTAAATATAATATATGAAATTTAATACTAACGAAATTTTTTTTTTTTCTACATTAGGTTGTCAATTAGAAATTTTGCATATATAGGACTTCGATCTGTCGATCGATACGAAAGATTGGTTATTGAGAAATTTGGAATCACTGCCTTCGGAATGGAAGATGTCGAGACATACGGTAATAATTTACCCTTATCTATATACAATAAATAGCAGGTAAATCCCATATTAAGGGAGAAATTGACTAGACTTTGGGAACCGAAAGTCATTAACAGGCTCTATTGTATTCTATAGTAATTTGAAATTAATGCTCTACACTCCATTAGTTTTACATTAGGTATATTTTCAAGTAAAGTTTAAGTCAATTATGTATTACTAAATAATATTATTCAGGATGGCCACAAGTCAATGAAAAATCGGAAATCAGGAAAAAGTCAGAGAATTATTCTTCAAACTAACTTATTCTCTTCATTTATCATTGTGATGATAGTTTCAAACAAAATTAGAATTATTTTATATTTTTTTCGATTAATTGATAAAATTAAATTAAATTTAAATTATTAAAAAAAAACAAATGTAAGATTTTAAATACCTAATGCAAGATTTTAACTTACAATTAAAAAAAAATTTTAGTCAAGATATTTTTTTTAAATGTAATTTTTCACACACTGGTGTTATTTAATTTTTATTGCTGACTGGTATTGTGGGTTAATAAGTGAATTAAGTCCCTATTTTATTTCTAAAATTCAAATACATTATAATACATTCAAAATTACTATCATACATTTAATTACTTTTAGTTCATTATAAACGAGTTAATTTTTGAAAATGTCAATAAATTTTCAGCTTTACAAAATTTACAAAAGGATAACTATAATTTCATTAATTTTACGTCATAAATACAAAAAAAATGCTTATGTAATTTTTTAAACATTTACACTAAAAAAAATATCATTTACATTTTTCAGGAATTCATGAAATTGTCCATATGGCTCTTAAAAAAATTGATCCTGACCATGTTAAATCGCTTCATGTTAGTTTCGATATTGATTCACTTGATCCATTAGAAGCTCCCAGCACAGGAACTCCAGGTATTTATATTATAATTCACTTTATTATTATCATTTAATTATTAAGTATTTTAAAAATTTAACAGAAAAAAATATAATTTCTATATATATTTAGTAATTAAAAAAAAGAATTAATTTTTAAAAAATTCAAATTTTTTATATTAAAAAAATATAATTAACAAATTATGATTTTTAAAAAGAAATTTACATTTTTGTTCAGTTCGCGGTGGATTATCATTAAGAGAAGGAATTCATCTAATGGAAGAAATGTACAGAACACGTAGATTAAATGCAGTTGATTTAGTGGAAGTAAATCCCGAAATTGGAGACGAACATAAAGTAAAATTAACTGTGGATGCTGCAATTCAAGTAATTCAAGCAGGTGTTGGATATTCAAGACGTGGTTTAAAACTGCCTAAGGAAATCACCGATATGCCCCTTCAAACATTTAGATAATTCAAATAATAAATATATATTCATTAAGATATTTGTAATCTTAAACTATAATCATTATTAATAATAATTTTTTTTAAATTATATATTCTCAATTTTAAAATTTTCGCGGTATAATTTTTTTTTTATTTCAGATTTAAATAATTTATTAGGAAACCAATCTTTCATATATATTTTATCTACATACTTACTTTTTTATAATTTTAAATTAAAAAGTTTATTAATACTAATAATTATTAATAAATTTTATTACTATAATTCCTTCAAATTTTGTTAATTGTATTAAATAAAAATTAATATTTATACATATTATTTTCAACAAATTGTAATTTTAATAAACAATAGTTGTTAATGAAATTAAAAAAAATCATTAAATATTTTCTATATATTTCAGTCTGCAAAAAAAAAAAAAAAAAAAAAAAAAAAAAGAATTGTACTACGCTTTCATTTTACTTTCAATTAAAATATTTTTGTATTTCGTTTATTTTTCACTACTAATGACCTTTCACAAAGCTGTGAGTAATTAAAACCTCAAAGTTATCACAAAGCTGAGGTGTCATAATGCCTGAGCACTTGTTCATTTCTTCAAAATTATTTATAGAAATGAAAAAAAAATAGTGTAATAGTTTAAAAAAAATTGTAAATAAAACTTAATTAGGTAAGTTAATGTTAATTGTATGATAATAATATTAAATAATTGTGTAATATTTTATTAATATTTGCATGCTGTTATGCTAAGGAAGAGCTTACATAAATAAAATTTTTTATTGTTGTTTATGTAAGTTCTTTCTTAGTACGGCAGCATGTTTCAATTTATTTATTATTTTATTTTTATTTATTATTTAGTTATGATTAAAAAATGAAACATATAAATGTTACACTAAATTAGTATAAACAAAATAATAATGTAATTAAATATATTAATTTGAATTAAAAACCTTTAAATTTATTTTCCATTGATTTTCTCATTTGAAGAAATATAAATAATATTTATTAAGTTAAATGCTGTATTATTATTTATTAGATATATTTTTCAGATTAATAAAATATGGATAATTTGAGCATAACGAACAATTATTCCCTGACGAACAGTTATTTTCTTTCGTCAACAACAAATACATATAATGGAATGTTAGATGAAGACATTAATTTAAGTGAAATTTTACAAGAATATCAGTCACTTTTAAGTCTTTCCAATGACTTTGAGGAAAAGAAACGTCCTTCTAATATTGTTGCTGGAAGTCACCTCAATAATGACTATTGTTATGAAGAACAAGATATTAGTCATATAAGAAGTGAACAAACAATTTCTAAAATTGGAAATATTGGACATGATAATTTACATATTTCGAGAATGTCATTTCATCATATGGAAAATCTTAAAAATTCCATTATATCAGAAAGAATAGATTTCACAAATGTTTCCAATTGTCCATTAAACAATGGCAATGATTTAAAATCATTAAATAATTATTATTATTATGAGAATATAGAAAATGAATCGTGTCCAACTTTGATTAATTTAAGTTATGAAAAATATATATCAAATGAATCCGAGTACAAACAAAATTATCGTATTACTCCAGATATTATAATATCTGAAGTTTCTGAGAATAGTTTTGTAGTGGATGATGATGATGATAATTGTAATGATATTGATGAATTATCAAAAGCAAATTCAATGAATTTGCTCAGTGTTGATAACACTTTAAATTTTTTTACTCGTCGTAAAAAGGAACGTTATTTTTTGTCACCCAAAAAATTAATTCAAAAATATAAACGCGAGGAAAATACAAAAATAAAGAATTTATCATTAAATGACGATAGTCATTGTGAAAAATTTGAAACAGATTTAGATGAAAAAAAAGTTTTGAAGAATATTGAGAAACTGCCAAGTTTTTGTCTCGAAGACATCACAATTGAATGGCCATCGTATGAAGAAATCAATCAAGAAGATAATGAATTTTCATTTAAAACATCGACTCCAAGAGATGATGAAGTTTCTTTTTCTCAATTATTGAATGATATAAGTCCAGTGAAGAAAGAAAAAGAAAATATAGAGTCTGCATCTTATTACAGAGTAAGTGGAAAACGTTATTTTTCTCGCAAAGAAGGTTTAAATTATTTTAGTACTCCTATTAAATAACTTATAATAACACATTGTAAATGTTCTTTTAAATTATATTTATTTTAATGTTGTATAATGACATTTATATGTATTTTAATTTAATTTTCAAATAAACGTACTTTTTAATCCGACATATTAATCATTAACAATTAACATATATATATATATATATTAAATATATTTAATTGATTTAGAATAAGTTTATTTTTAATCACAAAAATAAACCAGTAATTAAAACATTCACAAAAAATGAACTTTTAAAAGATAATGACAATTTTTTTTTTACAAAGATGACATTAAAACGATGCTTAACTATCACAATACAAATTGAAATCGTGCGTTAAAGAAAGCTAATTACTATAATTAACTAAAAATTTTATCTCCTACATAATACTTATATTTACAAGTTACACATTTATAAACAATACATATTTTATTAGCCTAAAACAATTTTTGCTTTAGCTTTACAACAATCATTCGAAATAATTCAAATTTACTTAAAATTATGTTATACATTTATCAGTCATGGATCTGTACAAAAATTGTAAGCGCACTAAACAAATAAAATGTAGAAAATTTGTGTAAGAATTCAGATAATTTGAAAGGTATGAAAAAAAGAAACAATTAATAAATTTAAAAATTGCAAAAATTCTAAAATTATTGCTAAAAATTTGTCTTAAAAAATGATAATTATAAAAAAAAAAATATTTTTTTTTAATGTATGCAATCTATTAAATTTTTCAATTCAAATTCAGTGAAAAATTAATCATTTGAATCTACAATTTTACGTTAAATGCAATTTGTAGATGAAATTAATAGTCAATTTTAGACACTCTCGGAGTTTAACAAGAATTTTTTCGTTGATAAAATATTTTTCACACATTTTTTCAGTTATTCCAACTGAAAAATAATGTGAGCGATTTATAACATATACGTACGCAATAAGCATTATAGAACAACTATTTTTTTTCCTCCGATTTTTCCCCATTAGAAAATCGGTAATACCAAAAATAGGCAATTTACGAACTTTTTCTTTCAATTCTTGCCAAATAGAGCTGCCTTTTCTCGGAATTGTGCTCGTCTCACGGCTTTTTCTTCATCTTGACGCTTTCGCTCTTCTTGCTCCATGCGAATTTCATCCTCGAACTTACTTGACTTCCGCAGCTGCTCAATCTGCAAAAAAAAAGTATATATATATGTATATATATAATAAATAAATACGTTTTACGAGTGTTTCTTTTTTTATTTAAAATTATTTCTATATACAAAAATAAAATTATTTTTCTAGACATTAAATAAAAAATTAAATTTTTTTATTGATTTCTTTAAAAATAAAAAAATTATTTATTCAATAACGAGTTTAGTAGTAAAATGAGTAATAACCAAGATATAGAAAATGATATTTTTTCAAACTTCTTCATGAATTCTTTTAGACGTGTGAAACATAAAAAATAATGGAAATAATTAAGACTATAATTTTTATGACCACGCATTAGTTCATAAATCTAGATTTGTTTACCTTGGCTTCGAAGAAATTTTTCGCGCCGGTTACTCCAACTGCGTCTACATCAACTTCCGTCAGGCGAGCAAGTTGTCCAAGACCTGAATCTTGCTTTAATTCTCCTGCTCGTGCCTTACGATATATCAGAAGAAACTAAAAAATAAAATAAACAAATATTTAAAGAAATAAAATAAAAAAAAATTTTAATAACAAAATTAATTGTAAAATAATTCAATTTAAAATATAATTTATTTTATTAAAGCATTTGAAAAAAATATAGAGTATTTATGTTGCATTTTTCGAAAATATACGAAAAAGACTAAAACCGCAAATGAATAAGCGACTCAAGAAGCAGTTGCTGCTGTTCACGCGAAAAAAGTAATATAATTAATTTTATTTATTTTTTAAGAAAAGGCAAACTAATTAAAAATTTTTTTTTTTTTCTTGATAGCTAAGAAGCTTTTCTCATAAAGACAAAATTTTCAAGGTCTAAATAATTGTTATTTCAAACTGATTCAAGGAAACGAATTGTAAAGAGTGAGTAAAGCAAGGTAGACGGGATATGAAACTTTATAAAATGAATCATATATCCATGCGTTTTTCAACAGTCTCATGTTTTATAAAATTTTGCATAAAATTACTCTCAACGATCGTGAAACATTTTTTTTAAAAAAGGTTAATAACAATTACCTCACGAAAGGAAATTTGTCCATCACAATCCTCGTCGACTTCTTTAATCATTGATTTTAGTCCAAGGTGGGTTTGTGGAGCTCCGAGAACTTCCATCATACGTTTCAGTTCTGCTAAATCCAAATATCCATCTCGTCCATCATCGAATCTAAAAAGGGAACATTGATGGGAAATAATATATTGTAAAACTTAAAAAGTGTATACAATGAAGAAATAAAATCTTATCTTATAGAAATTTAGTTCAAGTTAACGAAAAATACTTCTTCTGTAGTTTATAAATGAGAAACGTTTAATCAGCGAAGAAATGGAAATAACACGTCAGGTGTTTGTTTTATATTCATATAAGTCTTGAAAACACGTCGAAGGAAACTAATGTCAAGATAAATGAAAGGGAGAGCGAATTGCGGGTGCGCTTTGCTTGTAAAACGGTAAATTGAGCAATAGCCATTACAATATAACAACACTAGCATTTTCACGCATGAAAGTTTTATCAGTAAAATGACAATTTTATTGGTACAAAGATACAAATTCAGGAAGTAACATTTCTAAATTTTTTTTTTCCTCATTTACCAATTGACATTAGGCAATAAATGTTTATTTCTAATATTCAAATTTAAAGAAATAATTGATAAAAAAAAAGAATTATTTCCATAACATTCAAATTTCCACAATATAAATTTTTTTTTTGTAACATTCTACAAATTTCTATTATTTTCCAAAAGGTATTTTAAAAATATTGCCACACTTTATTTAAGAATCTAAAAAATAGTATTTTTGAAAAATTTTTTTAATTGTTTATAAAAAATGTTGTTAATTTAAAAACTCAAAATTTTACATAAAATTATTATATTATAGAAATTTAATCTTAAAATAGAAAAAAAGGAACGCGATCATTAATTCAACTATAATCTGATTCTAAACGATTTCCAATTAAAATCATATTAAATGACCAGGAAGCAGTTCACAGTCGATCACCGGTCTGAAATGACATTTCAGGTAAAACTTCAATAAACTCCTTTTCATCGGCTCGAATAACGATGTAATTGGAATATATTCGATATAAAAATTTTTTTTTTTTAATCTTTAAGAATTTTGCTTTTTGAAGATTTTAAATGTTTAATCTGTAATAAAAAAAAAATTATGTTTACGTATAAGTCGAATGAATAATTTAAATGCAAAAAATAACTTGCTGTGTATTTTCTATTTAATTGAAAATAAAAATGCCAAATAAAATACAAAAATCTGTTACAAGAGATATAAATTTAAATTATAAACGCAACATAAAATACAAAGTATACAAATTTACAGAAAAAAATTGTTTTTTATTTAAAAAAAAAAAAATTTATATCTTTCAAATGAGAGGATACAAATTTAAATTTTGTAAATTTTAATGATATAAAAAAGTGAAAACAAAATATTTACAAATAAGGAACAAAATAAAAAGAAAATTAAACAAAATATGAATATTGATATATGAAATAAGGGAATGTCACAAGAGGCTGCGACTTTTATTTTTGTTCTAAGGACGTTATGAGATCGAGCGTGAGAAGGTGTTTCTCTATAGGTATATTTCAACATCATGTGATTTTTTTATGGTTCACTATATGCGTCATTTGCCTGCAATGTTACATTCTTTTGATTTAGTTTCACTATTCCATTGTTCAATCCTCGAAAGTCTTTCATTAAAAATTTAATCAACTACTTCCTTATTTATCTAACAGCTGCGAGAATCCTCGATTTTTGTCACTTAAGTCTGTTCACCTGTATGAAAATCAGAAGTCAATTATAATTTTTTTTTTAAACGTACTTATTTTTAATTAATGATTAAATTATAAAAAGTTAATCAATTTTTTATTTTTATTTAAATATTATAAATTGAATCAAATTTTCGAATTTTAATAAAAAATTTTGATTTATTTTTTAAATTAGAAAATTAATTTTTCCCACTTATTTAAATATTTTACAAATTTTATGAAAGTATAACAAAATTTTCGAGATCAAATTCCGGGAGAGAACAATATTATTTTTGTTTCTCAGAATCCCTTTTCCAACGTTTAAAAGTGATTCGAGAAATAATATATTGGGAACTCTTTATGATTTTTCGCATTCCAAAGAGCTCGTTTTCATTATATAGGTATATAGAAAAGAATGAGTAACTTAAAAAGGAGGACGCAGAGGGCTTACATTACAACCTTATAAGACTGTATAATCGCTCACTTTTAAATTTCATTCAAGAACCAGTAACTCGATGTCGACAATTCTGTTACACATGTTTTTCAATTACTATCATACAAATTACACTTATATTATATTTAGCATACATTTTTTTTAACTAATCATTATTCATTGTGTTTAACATGCGTAAAAAAATTCTCGAAATTACAAATTAGTATTTTCTTTATATGTATCTATACTGTATATTAGGCCTACTGTATATATATATTGTTACTTCAATAGAGAAAACTTCAATCAGGAAAAACTTTCTCGTCGTAATCACTATAATTGATCAATATATACGATGGGAATAATCGATGAGCGAGAAAATCTTGACACAAATCAAGATATGTTCTTTCATTTAAATTCTTTTCATCCATCAATGTTAAACTTCTTTTTATTTACTTTTACATTGGACAAACTTGATATCAAAAAAATGTTAATATACATTCTGTTTTAAAACTAAATTTTTATAATTTAATGTAATTTTTACAATTAAATTAAATTTTTATAAGATTATGTAATTTCTAAAATTAAATTACCTCTTTTTTATTTAAATTTAATTTTCTAACTTAAACACGTGCTTAAAAATAATTTAATATAGTTATCGTTGAAGAATATAAATAAATTTAAAATTTTGACAATTTTAAAAAATTCTAATTACTAATTAACATTTTACAGATAAATTTAAAATTGATAAAATAAAACATTGAACTATAAAGTAATTACATCGAGACAATTTGTAAATGAGAATTTGTTATCAAAATTATATTTTAAGAAGATACTTAAGCACTTGTCATTATTCATTGTGCAAGTGGAGCCCTTTAACAATGACCATTATCATTATATTTAATTATATCCACAATTCATTTCGTGACCCGTGGGAGGAAGGATCATCAAATTGAGATATAGAGAAATTACGTAAACGTCTTAATCGGTACTATCTGTTATTCTCCTCCATGCAATTATACGTGAAAAAAATATTTTTTTTTTTTCTAAAATCAGAAAATAATCATGTTTTAATAAATAAAAATAATAACAAAGGAAATCCATACATGGTCGATTTTTAATTATTCGAAAAAATGTAATTTTTGAATTAATTAATTAATTTGGAAATTATTTCTAATCAATCCGCGCATGACCAAATCCAAAAGACTTGATATGTAATTAATGTTCATATTTTTTAAATTTTCAACGCTTGGACGTTGATAATTGATTATATCAAGAATAAACTTGAATCCGTTATAAAATCAAAATATATTATCTTCAAAATGGAACTGCGTGATTTATCCACATCTGACTGAAAAAAATCTTAAATTAATAAATATTCCTTTTTATCAGAAAAATACATTACAAATTCAAATCAATGACGCAAAATTTTCAATAAATAAATAAAGTAAACTATCACTGAAAAAAAGTCAATAAGATAATAAATGACAGAACAAATATATGAATAAATACTTAAACAAATAATTAAAAAAGAAAATAAATAAATTAGTATTTGAATAAATAAGTAAATAAAAAGGCTAATAATAAATAAATTAAAAAACTAATAAAATGAATAATGTTGAATTTAATGAATAAATCTGACATATAGTTAAACGATATACTTTTTTTTACTGATCTAATTCTTTGTTTCTCAATAATTATTATTTCTTTATATTTATATAAATGTATAGATTTATAATAGTATAAAATATATATGTGTATAGAGAATGCAGTAAGTAAGTCGTTCTAACGAATAACTATGTATGTGGGTAAATCTCGACTTGTTATTTGCAATTGAAGTGGATTGTATGTCCGCTGAGTCCGCATTAACAATGCCATGTGTCTAAAATGAAACCCGACTTTCTTTTGAATTTAAATTTCATTAGAAGATAAATTTTCTAAGTTTAATTAGAAATTCTAAAGATAACAAAAATTATACTCAAGTACATAAGATAATACATATATATATATCTAATGAGAAACTGGTTTTAGCTTTAGATAGAAAATTCTCTTTATAAAAAAATGTATTACTCTTTCTCACGTTCATATAAAAATAATTTTTTAATTAAATTCAAATTTTTTATATTTTTAAAAAATTTATATATTTAAAAAAAAAGAAGAAAACATGTATCGTTGAATTGAAATCTTTTTTTTTTATTATTATTTAAAAATTTATACCGAGCGAATTATTTTTCATTTATTTAATAATTCGCTTATTTAATTTTCTTTGCAAAATTGAATAAAGTATATTTAAATCTGAATAGACACAAAACCAAGGTCTATGAAAATGTTAATAGGTTCTTTTATCGGCTTCAAAGCCCTTCGATTTAATATATATATTTAATATATAAACATAATAGTAATCTTAAAGTATAATTATAATTATCTGATACAAGTAAATTTAATTTATTATTGATTTCAGTAATAATTGTAAAAACTTTTTTTTATGACACGAAACTATATAAAAAGTGTGACACTTTGATATCTACGTTCATTGGGTCACACATTATATGTTCAATCGATTCAACTTGTTTCCTCTCGAATGCACTTTCTCGACCTCGACCTTTAAGATTACTTAAAGTTACTGCGAACTTAACAGTTGCATTTTGTAATTAACAAAAAGAAAAATATGTTTCTTCAATAAATTATTGTTAAAACAAAATATTGTTTTGACAATGCAAGAGGAATGAGTTTTTGATTTTTGTAAAAAGGACAATATTAAGAAAGTAAACCTAAAATAAAAAGAAATTTTATAGAAAATAATTTGTATACATATTTGGAGAAAACAATTGAAAATATTACAATATTTAAATAAACGATTATTTTTTTTAAATACTGAAGAGCAAGTTGAAGAGTTATTAACGTGTTCTTTTAAATCTAAACAATAAAAAGAGAATTGAATGCGAATATCCAATAAACGAGGCTTTTATGACGGTTAATATACAT